TAAATAATATATCTATATACACAAATTTAGTTTTCTGGTATTAATAAATTTTATTGTAGCTAAACGTTAAGAAAAATCTTCTTTATTGTTTTGTGTTCACTATTTCTTTCCCTTTTTGCCTCCCTTACCTTTTGGCGGAGGAGCAACGGGTTCCTCTACCACCTAAAAAATAATACATATATAAGATTAGCATATGCTGCATATAAATTAGATTTCCAGCGCTTACCGGTGGCTTGTTTGCCTCCTCCCGTTGGGCAAATATCTCCTGAACTTCAGCAATTTTTCGATGAAACATTGGTATCTGCTCTCGGTAGAATTTTAGATCGTCTACGGCCTTTGATAGCTTGTTGCGTGTTACTTTGATCTCGTTGTCGACTAGCTCCATACTTGTCTCATATGCCGATTCCGTTTCGCTAATACGCCGCTTATAATCCGATAGCTCCAAGTCGTAGGCCAGATAACAGAGCTCCCTAAAGTAGGTGAATTCCTTGGCACGATCCTTGTAAAAGTTAACCTCGTCCTCTATGGCCTGCAATTGAAGTTACTTATCAGATGTTCGAAAATAATACGCAGCTCTACCTTAATATCAAGTTCGTCACTCATGAGGGACTGTTCCATTGTTGTTTGGGCCCAATTGATGCGATATCGCGCCTCAATAGGCACCATAACTGAGATAATATTGAAAATGTATTACTTATATATGGAAGAATGATCGGCTCATTGCGGAGTGACGGTGCTTACAATCCATGTGGTTGATTCTTTTATTCAGTTCCTTGTGCCTGTAGCCGCCTGGATCGGCTGTACGCGGTGTTTTCTGCATTGCCTCAGCTAGCTGTGCTTGCCGATCCTCCTCCTCCTTCCGAGTGTTTGTCACCAGCTCCATAATATCCACTTGGGCATCTCTGTAGTATTCAGCTTATTAAGCTTTATATAACCAACTGTTTAGAGTGTGCGTTTACCTTATGAGATACAGCGAGTTATTGCAGATGTCCCCCTTGACCCTGAAATCATCGTAGAGTGCATCGACTAGTCGTATGATTTCCTTTAGATCCACGCGAAACTTGAAGCAGTCCATTTGACCCTTCAACTCCAGCTCAACATTATCCAAGTAGTTCTCGTTGCGTCGGTTAAAGCGCCTGAGGTAGTCCTCAATCGACCAGCTGAACATCCGAAGATTCCGATCCACATTCGTTTCGTGGCGCCACATATCCCGCACCACACTCATCCGATACCTGACGTCCGTCAGCAGACAGAGCACGGCAAAACAGCCGATCGCTTTGGCTATACTGCCGTAACGTAGCCTCAACAACTTATTGATGTCCAGCACACTGAGTCGCTCCTCTATCAGAGGTTTGATCGACTTTTTGATAGGGTAGGCCGTCACCCTAGCGTACTTATGATAGTCGCTCAACAGTTTTTCCTCCGCATTGAATGGAAATGAGCCGAACCCTAAGCGACTGTGCTGCCTTTTAGGAATGAAAAAATCGCCCTCCGACGGGATTCCCAATGATGGCAGCGGCACATCATAGGGCGCAAACAGTTTCTTAAGGAACGAATCTCGGCATTGATCGGGTGGAGCCTCTGGCAGTGGATATTCATCCTGGAGCTTTTTTAGCATATCCAACCGCTTCTGCTCATATTCACGGATTAATTTCCTACGGTTCAACATTGTGCTTCCTTGTACTTGTACTTAAAGCGTAACAAATACGGATTTTTTTTCTATTTTTCTTAAGCTGGAGTAGTTTGAAATGTATTTTGTGTTCCTGGGTGTATATAATGATGTTGTAAGTATAGTTGACTAAGTGTATTAGAATTATAAATATATGAGCTTGAGTTATAGAAAGATATACATAAATCACTTGCTGGCATCTAATTTAGAATTACGTACTATCAATCTATGATTTATCAATATATCTTTATTTATCCATACAGATAACTAGCTATCCGTCGATCTTTTAATTTATCTGGTAGAGATATAGAAATATACCTCTTTATCCATCTATCTGGTGGAGATATGGAGATATCTACCTCAATATCTATATTTCTATATAGCTATCAATTTGTGCATCTATTTATATGGTGTATACATACATATATGAACAAGTTGCTCAGAGATAAACTATAAGAGCTGGAGTCTTGAAAATAGTTCATTGGATTATTTAAGATATTATAGATATAAATGAAACCAGATATCAAATGCTTTGTCTTTTTTTTTCACTAAAACATTCTCCATCGCAGCGGGCCTTGCGTACAAGTTGTTTGGGTTTGGGTATTCCATGTTAGTTCGTTGACAAACGTACGATGTATAGACCGTGTTTAAAATCTAAAGTATTTGAAAAACAAACTCCATTTATGTGGTGCGGCAAGCAGGGCAGCGGTGCCGAATTGTTAGCACCCGAATCGATTGGCGACTGGTCTGTGGCGGATTGCGGGGATGCTGTCGATGATGACGATAATGAGCAGGTAACTTCAGTTAGAGTTCGAGTTTTAAGATGTTGGCTAGCCTAATTGCCGTTAGGCGCCCCACACAGCCATTGTTATTGTGGAGCCACGACAAATGCGCCTCTCAACGGCCAGCACCACCAGCAGCTCTAACAGCATCAGTATGAGTAACGGTATTGGTCTCAGTCATAATAATAATATTAATAATGTTAGTGGTGGTGGTGGGGGTGTGGGTGGTGCTGTTAGTGGTGGTGCTAGTGGTGTCGGTGGTGCCGGCAGCAGCAGCAATACCAGCATCGGCGGGCACGCGCCTGAGTGGTTTATGCTCCCACAGGCAGTGGATGTGAACAACGATGTGATGCGTCTGGTTAGCAGCCTCTCGACGGTGGTCCAGATCCTGACACGAATGACTAATGCGGCTGCCCAAGAGCTGCGCCAGCATCCCGAGCGGGAGGAAGGCTTCCAGGGCCTTCGGCTGTTGCTCAACTATGCTGATCAAATGTACACTACGCTCTTGCAGGTAACAACTCTTTAGAGTATATGAACCTACATATATTTATGAATCCTATAAATCCTATAAAACCTGTGCAGCCCCAGCCCTTGCCGCCGGAACGACCCGCCTCGTCAAATAGGAATGTTAGCGGGCAGTCGTATAATCTTTTCCATCATCTCTTCGAGCCGATGCTCGTCGCCCAGCCGGAGAGGATGGAGGATGTGTCACCGCGCCAATCGCAGCCAGTGGATCGATCACGTGCCTATCCTTATCGCGTTGTGGCCGTCGCGGCTAGTGCGACAGGTATTCCAGGTGGTACACCACCTGGACCGGAAGCAAGCGGACCAATTGCGCCAACATCGGCAATCGGCGCGAATGTGTATCAGATTCGAAATTGACATGGCAACAGCTTCACTGCAGCAATGCGGCTTAAATTGTTTGTGAATAAATTAATTGCATTGCAACTAACTGTTAAAGAGTTGACTCTATATGTATTTACAGCAACGTACAACCAGCACCCTGTGCTTTATTCTACAAAGATAGCGTTTGTGTCCTACTCCGATAGCATTTTGTTGCGCTCTCTCTATCCCACTCTTGCTCATTCTCACTCAACGACGGACAAAAGCTAACAGCACAATTGGAGAGACATGTAAATTACGACTTGTGCCCGTTGTCAGTTAATGTTAACAACATGCAACGGTAATTCAAGCACAGTTTCAGCAAAGGCAAACAAAGTGCACATAAGCATGTACTCACACATACACGCATATATACAGTCACTCACGCTCAATTAAAACATCGCCGTACTCCCACGCGCGCTCTCAGCAAGCAAACACAAATAAACGTGCGCGCACTCCCTCTCTCTCCCACTGTCTCACACTCATGCTCGCGCACTGCGTTAGCTGTTCTCTGCTCATGTGCTGCTGTGACGTAGGCGCCTGCTTGCGTTGGCAACGTCTCCGCTCACTCGCACACAAACACACAAACGCACACGAAATAGCTTTTGCTTGCGCTCAGCTGGCAACAGGCCGAACATCGCATCGTCGCTTGCTGCTGCTGCGTGCGCGCCTGTTCACTCGTATCGCGTAGAGGGACCTGCCTCAATGCTGCGCGTCACATTTTTTTCGTGCTTTGTTTAGGCGTCCGACCTTTCGCAACATACATAAAAATCAACTGTATTTTTTGCTCGTAGTATTTGATTATTATTATTTTTTTGCTTCTTCGGCGCTTGACAGTGGCCCATTTGAGACTGTAGGCGCCGCTTCGTCTTTCGGCGCCTGCGCAAGGCAAATTCGATTGGTTGGGCGCTGCTTTTGCAGCTTTGTAGCTTGCAGCTTGGCCACCATTTTTGATTTGGATTGCGCTGTAGCTGGTTATGAAGCACACAGAATGCGACTGCTGCTGGATGCTGTCGCACCTACGGTGGGATGCCCACCGTCCTTGTGAAGTGCCGTTAGTTAAGCAGCGGCGTGATCAAACAATTGGCATGGGTGGAGGACGCCAATGGGTGAAGGGGCTGTCATGTCACTTATTCGGCGAGCTTTTAGCCGTCGTCTACAACTGTAACTTTACGATGGCACGTATAACTGTACGCGTATACATATGTGTGTGTGCGTGTGTCGGTATTTGTGTGCATTGCTCATCTTTTATGTCGACTGGCTTTTGCTATCTTTTGATTGCTGTGCACTTGTTCGCCAAACCGCAGAGAGCGCTGGCATTGCCATCGGCAGCGGGCGTAACGGTAAACGACAAACAGCGTCACCAGCGTCGTCGACGGCACGACGGTCGCATCTGATAGACAGCTGTCTCCCGGTTACGTCAGTCAAAATGACGCATCGTGTTTTGGTAACAGGAAAGCATAAAAGCCAGCAGACGCAAACGGAGCTGGAGCGAGAGTCGCTGCCGCAACAAAAGAAAATCACCACAAAACAAAAGAACAAAGCGCACACAGCGACAGCGTCAGCGACACCAGCAGCGAGCAGCAAGCAACAAGCAGCGACGCGACGCAGCCAAACAAAAATTGTGCGCGAGACAACGTTTGGCGCCCACATTGAGCCACCCTCGCACTTTGGGGCCAAACTCTGGCAACTCTGGGCCAATAACCTTTGCGCAATTAGGCAAAGTGCAGTCGCGACTGGAAACTCTCCAAAGCGCAGAGCGAACTTCTCAGTCTCCTCCTTTGCACAGTCTAAATCTATGTGCGTACAAATTTAATTGCAGCACAGAAAGACCAATTAATTGAATGACTTTCAGATACCCACTATAAATGTGTGTTTGTTTAGGTATATATTTTCCCCCGCCTAAAAGTATAATTGAACAAATTTTATTTTATTTCAATTAAAATAAGAAATTATTCGCGAATGACTTGATTTGGGTTCTATTTTGCTAAAATTATAAATATGTACAAATGTCTGAATTTAAAAACAAGCCAGTATTATGCTACCTTTAGATGTTGAAACTAATTTATTCAATATATATATACATATTTATTATTATTTTGTTTT